AACCCATTTAAGCCGATCTTGTGTAGAGCAAAGTTTCCTCTACATATATGCAATTTTAAACCCCGATCCTCTATGTGCGGCAAGTTTCCTCCACATATGATCATCCAGACTCGGTTCTTTTTGTGTAGAGGCAAGTTTCCTCTCCACAAGACCGTCCGCTAGTGGTGGGCATGCCGTCAGTTGGCCAACCACCCTGGCCATTTGAGTTGAGGCATTAGTGGTGGAGCGTGCCCTTCGTGGCGCCATCCCTATTCCTATCCGCTAGTGGTGGGCATGCCTCTGGTGGCACCAACCCTGGCATTGAGTTTCGAGGATTAGTGGTGGAGCGTGCCCTTCGTGGCGCCCATCATAATTTGTACCTTGTTAGTGTTTGGATGCATGCCTCCTTGGCACCACCCTAGCATTTGAGTTCAAACGAATTAGTGGTGAGCGTGCCCTTCATGGCGCCATACTAATTCGGTTCCATTAGTGGTGGAGCATGCCTATGTGGCACCACCCTAGCTTTGAGTTAACAATTGTGGTAGGAGCGTGCCCTATCATGGGCGCATCCTAATTCGTATCCGTTAAGTGGTGGCATGCCCTCTGGTGGGCACTACCATAGCATTTGAGTTAAAACGATTAGTGGTGGAGCGTGCCCTTCATGGCGCCATCCTAATTCATATCCGGTAGTGGGTGGAACCTGCCCTTTATAGGCACCACCTAAGAATTTGAGTTAAACGTTAGTGGATAGAGCATTGCTCTCGTGGCACTACCCTAATAGAATTTAATCTTGATTCCCTAGGGATGAATTTTTCTTTCCCTTAGGATTAAAATTCCACACTTGACCTTTAATCTTGGTCAACGCCAAATCTGTTTTAATAGAACTCGCTCTATTACACAATTGGGGATCCATATTGTTAGACCTCTTTTTTGAGGTTATTTGGCTACTCTGATTCTAAATAATTTAATTTTCAACATTAATTTAAATTCTAGGGATCTCTCTAGAATCCCTGACCTAGGATCTATGCTAGGATTCTTCTAGAGCCTAGACTTTAGGGAGCTACTCTAGATCCAACTTCTTCTAAGATTTCAAGTTAATCGGAATTTTTTTTTTAGGCTCTAGATCCTTCTAGATTCCCAACTTTACGATCTATTCAGACCTCAGGATCATACCTAGATCTTTAGGTCAATAAGCCAATTCCAAGGTCAAAGGTTTATTGTCCTAAAGGCCTTTTTCATTGAAATTTCAAACAATTTGAAACCACAGCTAATGGACCTCTGATTTAGAGTCTGGTCAGTTGCATACTGATGGGCACATGTCTCTGGAAGGCCAACCCTCAAATCTGTAAAACCCATTCTGAGGTCTCTAACCTTAGAAAACCTTAATTAAAATCCACTAGGCTGTAAAACTTTCAAATACAATTTATAGCTATGCACTGAACTTGTTTCACTTTGATTTTCTGACCTTAATGCTTCAACCAAAGCCTTTAGTCATTCTAGACCTTAATCCTGCATGTTTGATCAATAAACTAGCATTTCTTTCTGGACCCACTTTGACCCAGTTGAACCTAGGGACCAAACTGACCAAAATACCGCTATGGGGTTCAAATATTGATTTTTTCAACAATGAATCCGAATTGAACGCAACAACTCCCAAGTTTAAATGTAATTTCAAATCTGTTTGAGCCCATTCCGAAGCTTGGGTCAACCTGGTTGACGAGTCACAGGTTTGACCAAGAGGCTTTAAGGGTCCAAACAAGGTGTTTTGAACCAATGATTTCCTAGGACCTGGGACCAATACTCAATGGACTCTAATGTCATTTTAATCTGTTGAACCTTTCAGACCCTGACCCTAGATGGTTGACTAGTACTATTTTGGCTTAAGGGGCATTAAGCCTTTAACCTAAATACTAATAAACTTTGGAATGGTACACCCATACTTCTCCTATACATAATTCACGTAAATTGAATGGTTGAATGGTCAACATTAGTAAAACACATCTAAGGGCTTTTAGGAGAATTAAATATTTTAGCAACTCCAAACTACCTCAAGCCCATCTGAACTTGCACTCAATCAAACCAGCAAATCACACACTCCTCATCAGCCCCTCAGCATCCCATACATAGAAATCTGACACACAGGTTCCCACATGGTATGGATAGACGTCAAATGACACTTTAAACATATGGCCCATATATATACCTTAAGAATATTATCATTGAGACCCTAGTAATCAGCTGTTAATACACGCCTCTAAACTTCCTGCAAGTACATATCTACAACCTTTGGATCTAGATCCAATAGCCCTATCATAGATCCATATGTTAACACATAGGGGACAAAGAGCTTTCCCACCTCACACTTCGCTCAGATTGCTAGTCCTTGCACTACCGCTTCCACAACTGCCTGGACAGTTGTCAGGCTCTAGGAGCTACCTTGTTAATCTACCCTTGATTTGATCTTAGAGATGGCGAATAGGGCAAAATGCTAAGAGAGCTCTCATTCAACTAGAGCCTCTCTTCCACTCAAGCTTATCCAACGAATACTCATTTTGTTTAAGCTCAAGAGCTTTTCACACTTTCAGACCAAAATCCAGCCGGCCAAACCTTGCCGGCGGCAGGTTAACCGGCCAAACGATGAGGCTGATCACAATCTGTATCTCCCAGCTGATTCATTGCTACTCCAGCCGTGGTGTCTTCCATCAAAAAGGAGCGTGGACAGCTACAATGCACATACCTTTAAAGGATTTAATCGTCCATGAATAGGTATATCTTAAACCTAGATAGATCACTTAAGTTCAATTAGCTTTTGATAGCCCTTTTAATACCTTAATAATATATCCCCCTTAATGCTCTTCACAGGGTTATCTATGTTTTTAAAATTTCAAGTCAATGGTTGTTATTTTTGAGAGACGAGAAAAAGTTTCAACCTTTACGGTTCGGGATTGCATAAGCTCTCAGTAAGTCGAATCCTTGACCGTTGATCATAGGATCCATGATCCTGGATTCGCCTTCTGCGGCTCGATAAACCACGGAATAGATTCTGGCGTTTATTTTTTGGGTTTGGCTCGATCAGAACCGTCCTTTTCAGAACCGCGGGAAAGATCTGAACCGTCCGATTCTTTCAAAGATGAATAGCTGCGGGATCGATCGAGTCATTGATCAAGCCGCCGTTGATCCGATGGTTTGTGAGCGATGCTAACTCATTTCACGTGGAAATGCGTGATGCCGCCATGGGTGACGCATGGTTGACCGCCGCCCGTGTCGTCAACGCCGCCTCCGTGTTTCGGCCTGACTGTCGGCGTGCTGCCGCACGTTTTTAATTCCGAGCCGCCATATCATTTTAATTAAGGTTTAATGGAGATTTTAATTATTTTAATCACCAGAAATAAAAATATTAAAAATAGATAAAATCAAAATGTATTATATTTGTATTAAATTTTAGAATTTAAATTCTTTATTTATAATTATAATTATTTAAAAAATAATTAGTTTTTAAATAATTAAGATTTATTAAATATTTACTAATATTTAAATTAAATATTTAATAATATTTTCGCAATAAATTTAAATTTTTAAAATATGAATCGTTAGGAGTAGCAAATATCGATCCACCTCCAGGTGATATACTTTCATTGATGCAATTAATTCAAAATTTTAAAATTAAATATCCAAGATAATTAAATTTTTTTCAAAACTATATATTACTATATATACTTAAATGATATTTTTTTAATCAAAACACTGTTGTCCGAGTTTAGGGATTGCTTTGCCTGGACATACGATAAAATGCCAGGTTTACCCGCTGAGGTAGTGGTTCATAACTTGTAGTTCGGCACGATGCCATTCCTGTCAAACAAGCTCCTTGACGCATGCGCTTGGAAATCGAGCAACAAGTCATATCCGAAGTTAAAAAATTGGCCAGAGCTGGGTTTATTCGAGAGGAACAATACCCCTCTTAGGTAGCCAGCGTCATACCGGTCTGAAAGAAAAATGGTCAAATTCGAATTTGCATCGATTTTAGGGATCTGAATAAGTCATGTCCTAAGGATGAGTTCCCTCTACCAATAACAGAACTCATGGTGGACAATGCCTCCTCACATGCCATTTTCTCATTCACGGATGGCTCGTCGGGTTATAACCAAATTAAGATGGCCCCAGAAGATGAGAGAAATACTGCATTCAGAACCCCTATTGGAATCTTTTGTTACAAGGTGATGCCATTTGGCTTAAAGAACGCTTGGGCAACCTACCAGCAGGCCATGACCCGTATCTTTGACAACTTAATTCACAATCAAGTTGAATGTTATATTGATAATTTAGTTGTAAAGAGCAAGGTCAAAGAGGCTCACCTGTATGACTTAAGAGTTGTGTTTGAGTGGTTGCGCCGCTACGATTTGAAAATGAACCCCTTGAAGTGTGCCTTTGGCGTCACCTCAGAGAAATTCTTAGGATTCGTAGTGAGGCATCACGGAATTGAGATTGACCCTACTAAAATTGAAGCCATCCTAGATATGCCATCTCTTAAGAGCCTTACCCAGTTAAGGTCTCTACAAGGTAGATTGGCATATATAAGGAGCTTTATTTCTAATCTTTCCGGGAGATGTCAACCCTTTTCTGTCCTTACGAAAAAAGACACTAAATTTGTATGGGACGAGGAGTGCCAAATTGCTTTCGATAACATTAAACAATACCTTTCTAACCCACTATTTTTGGCAGCCCCAATTCCGGGAAAGCCGTTAATTCTCTACACTGCAGCCTTAGATGAGTCTTTAGGTGCCCTGTTGGCTCAAGTCAACGACGATGGGAAGGAGAATGCTCTCTATTACCTTAGTCGAAGACTTCTTCCTACAGAAATTCGATACCCTTCAATAGAGAAGCATTGTCTTGTTTTAAATTTTGTAGCCCAGAAATTGAGGCACTACATGCTCACCCACTCAGTCAGCTTGATTTCAAGAGTTAATCCTTTGCAATATCTTATGACCCGACCTGCGTTGTCAGGACGTTTAGCCTGATGGTCTATGATATTACTGCAATTTGAGATTACTTTCACTCCCCTTTGTGCTGTGAAAGGACAAGCCGTTGTCGATTTTCTGGCAGCACACCCGCAGCCGGTAGACTCTCCTCTGAACAATGATTTACCTTACAAACAAATCATGAGTTTGAGGGAATCTGACGAGGCCATCTGGGAATTGTATATTGATAGAGCAGCATCCTCCCGTAGGAATGCTACCCAATAATCTATAATTCCTGGAAAGGCTGGAGTCGGTCTAACTTTTATAATGCCAGAAAAAGGAATGATGCATTTTTCCTACCATTTATCAGAGCTCTGCACAAATAACGAAGTTGAATACGAAGCTCTGATAACCGGTTTGGAACTTGCAATTCTAATGAAAATCAAAGTGATTAAGATCTTTGGCAATTCCCAATTGTTGATAAACCAAGTCGCAGGAACCTATAAGGTCTTAAATCCTAATCTTTTGAAGTACCACCAGTACACACTTCATTTGTTAGAACAAATTCCTACCGCTACTTTGTATAGGATAACCCGTGGAAGTAACTCCGCAGCAGATGCCTTAGCAAAACTTGTAAAGGAATTTGCATGTCCTGAGGAGGATTCCATCCCTATAGAAATTCAGGATCGTAAAGCCCTCTCTCCTATAGATTTGAAACACATCAGTAAGGCTCCCCTTCAGATCCTTTCTGCCTCTTCGACAACTGACGAAGAGGGCGATTGGAGATGACCCTTAATCGACTACCTCAAAGAAGGGAAGCATCCCCAGGATTAATCACTCTCCAACCAGATTAAGAAACGTGCCCTATCTTATGCACTAGTCAATAATTTATTATATCGTCGGTCCTTCGATCACATGTGGCTGTGCTATTTAGACTAGCGAGAAGACCTGAAGATTGTTAATGAAGTTCATTCAGGACTATGCGGTGCACATCAATCGGGTCCAAAAATGAAACTGAAAATTAAAAGACTTGGATACTACTGACATACAATGGTTGACGATTGTATGAATACTGCAAAGCACTGCCATCAATGTCAGGTTCATGGGGTAGTTTTGCATCAGCCGCCTAATGTGTTACACCCTACGATAGCTTCGTGGCCCTTTAAGAGTTGGGACACGGATATCATTGGGCCGATTGACCCTCCCTCTGCGAGAGGTCATAGTTTCATATTAGCAGCGACTGATTACTTTTCAAAGTGGGAGGAAGCAATTCTCCTACGTAACGTAACATCACACCATGTCTTAAAATTCTTTCGTGACCATATCGTATATTGATTCAGCATACCCCGCAGAATCATATCCGATAATGGGTCTGCATTCAAGTCTACAAAAATCAACAATTTTGTAAGACGCCAGAACATTGATTGGAGATACTCGATGATCTATTACCCTCGGGAAAATGGATTAGCCGAAGCCTTCAACAAAACCTTGGTGAAAATTGTTAAAAAGACCCTTGATGATAACAAACGACAGTGGGATGAGCGGTTGGTGGAAGCTCTGTGAGCTTATCATACCACTTATAGAACCCAGACCCAATCCACCCCATTTGCACTAGTGTATGGATCTGAGGCCGTTCTACACTTAGAAATACAAATCCCTTCGCTCAGGATTGCAGTTCAGAATCAGATTACAAATGAGCAAAATGCAAAACTGTGGTTGGAAGAACTCGAAGGCCTTGAAGAGCGACGTCTCCAAGCTCAACAAAGTTTAGAGTTATATAAGTCCCGTATGGTTCAAGCCCATGATAAGCTAGTGCGACCTAGGACCTTCCAAGCAGGAGACTTGGTGTTGGTCCTTCGGAGGACTATCTTATCCCATCAAAAGTTGGGAGGCAAATTTGAACCCACTTGGGAAGGACCCTTCGTCATAGAGACTGTCTACGAAGGAGGCTCGTATCAGTTAGTAGATTGTAAAGGAAATCATCCAATGCTACCTGTCAATGGGCATTTCCTTAAGAAATACTATGCTTGATATAGCTCATTTTATCGATTAATGAAATTTTCCTTCTTGATTCGCAACCCGGTTCTTTCCTTTTAAATTCTTCTACTTTTTAACATTCTTCGCCTTCTCCTTAGGGTCGGACCGTCCCCTCCCTTAGGATCGCACCTGCAAGTGGTGGAGTATGCCCTCCGTGACACCACCCTGCATTTGACTTGGGGATTAGTGGTGAATTACGCCCTTCGTGGCACCATCCTAATTCACACCTTCTAGTGGTGGAGTACGCCCACCGTGGAACCAACCTGGCATTTGACTTGGGGATCAGTGGTGGAGTACGCCCTTCGTGGCACCATCCTGATTCTCGCCTGCTAGTGGTGGAGTACGTCCTCCGTGGAACCACACTGGCATTTGACTTGGGGATTAGTGGTGGAGTAGGCCCTTTGTGACACCATCCTGATTCACACTCGCTAGTGGTGGAGTACGCCATTCGTGTCACCATCCTAGTTTGCAAGTTTCGGTCCACTGTGTGGAGCAAGTTTCGTCCCCACATGACCATCCGAGTTAATTTGCCTATTTGGAGTAAGTCTTCTATCAGCATCCTATAGGCCTAAGGTTGGGTGATGCCCTTCCTTAGACCCAAGGCTAGGTATTCCCTACCTTGGTTTTCCAATTAATCTGTCTACTAGGAGTAAGTCTTCTATCAGCATTCTGCAGACCTAAGGTTGGGTGATGCCATTCCATAGACCCAAAGCTAGGTATTCCCTACTTTGGTTTCCAGTTAATATAGCTATTTGGAGTAAGTCTTCTATCAGCATCCTATAGGCCTAAGGTTGGGTGATTCCCTTCCTTAGACCCAAGGCTAGGTATTCCCTACCTTGGTTTTCAAGTTAATCTGTATTCAAGGAGTAAGTCTTCTATCAGCATCCTGTAGACCTAAGATTGGGTGATGCCCTTCCTTAGACCTAAAGCTAGGTATTCCCTACTTTGATTTCCTGTTAATTTGCCTACTTGGAGTAAGTCTTCTATCAAAATCCTGTAGGCCTAAGGTTGGGTGATGCCCTTCCTTAGACCCAAGGCTAGGTATTCCCTACCTTGGTTTTCCAGTTAATATGTCTTCAAGGAGTAAGTCTTCTATCAGCATCCTGTAGACCTAAGATTGGGTGATTCCCTTCCTTAGACCTAAAGCTAGGTATTCCCTACTTTGATTTCTAGTTAATTTGCCTATTTTGAGTAAGTCTTCTATCAGCATCCTATAGACCTAAGGTTGGATGATGCCCTTCCTTAGACCCAAGGCTAGGTATTCCCTACCTTGGGTTTCCAGTTAATCTGCTATTTGGAGTAAGTCTTCTATCAGCATCCTATAGGCCTAAGGTTGGGTGATGCCCTTCCTTAGACCCAAAGCTAGGTATTCCCTACTTTGGTTTCCAGTTAATCTGCCTATTTGGAGTAAGTCTTCTATCAGCATCCTATAGGCCTAAGGTTGGGTGATGCCCTTCCTTAGACCCAAAGCTAGGTATTCCCTACTTTGGTTTCCAGTTAATTCTGCCTATTAGGAGTAAGTCTTCTATCAGCATCCTATAGGCCTAAGGTTGGGTGATGCCCTTCCTTAGACCCAAGGCTAGGTATTCCCTACCTTGGTTTCCAGTTGATCCGTCTACTAGGAGTAAGTCTTCTATCAGCATCCTATAGACCTAAGGTTGGGTGATGCCCTTCCTTAGACCCAAAGCTAGGTATTCCCTACTTTGGTTTCCAGTTGATTTGCCTATTTGGAGTAAGTCTTCTATCAGCATCCTATAGACCTAAGGTTGGGTGATGCCCTTCCTTAGACCCAAGGTTAGGTATTCCCTACCTTGGTTTCTAGGTTTTTGCCTATGGAGTAAGTCTTCTATCAGCATCCTGTATCCTAAGGTTGGGTGATCCCTTCCTTAGACCCAAGGCTAGGTATTCCCTACCTTGGTTTCTCCAGTTTCTTGTCTATGGTGTAAGTCTTTTTTAGCATCCTATAGACCTAAGGTTGAGTTGCCCTCACCTTACACTCTTAAGATTCTACTTCTATTCGGTCAACGCGCAATGTGTGCAGCAGAAGTTTCCTTCTACCATACACTTTGGGGGTCCATTTGTTGACCCATTTTTGTATGAGGTACTAGGCCCTTATACTCCAGATCTTATTAGATCCTAGATCTACTCTAGACTTTAAGAGTTCTTTCTAGAGCTACCTTTAGGGCTACTCTAGAGCTTAAGATCCTTTTCTAGATCCAAGATCTTAGGGCCTACTTAGAGCTTAGGAGTTCTTCCCATATCCCAAATTCTAGAGCCCCTCTAGATCCTAGATCTTAGAATCCCTCTAGATCCTAGGACCAACCCAGACTCAAATCAATCCTTACTTTTGATCAACTCGAACCTCAAATGAATCCCTACCCTTGATCAATTCAAATCTCAAACTTCATTCAATTTAAATCCAAATTAATTCAAGCTTCAAACACATCCAAACTTTGACCCAACCAACTTGAGAATCCAAACTTCAATCCAGACTTTGATCTAGCTTTGACCCTATCCGTTCATTAACAATCACCACATGATTGTAAATGATTTGGATACTTTAATATTAATCATTTAAACTTAAAATCTATTCCAAATCCACCAATCCAGACTCAAATCCAGGCCCTATCCTAAAGACTTTTTTCAAGGATTTTTCAAACATTTCAAAACCCAGTCAAGTGACCTCTGATTCAGGGTCTATCACTTACAAAGTGATAAGACATGTCTCTAGAGGTTACCCTTTAGTTTTGAGCCCATTCTGAGGTCTCTAACCCTAGAATCTGAATCAAAATCCAAAGGCAGTAAAACCTTTAAATATTTACAGCCTATGACATTGGACCTAACACCTTGAAGATTTTGGTCTTGGAGCCCTCATCAAAGCCTCCAATCACATCCAGACCTTTGATTGTAATCCATTGAGCAGTAAACTGCATTTTTCAGACCCATTTTTGACCATAGCTGACCAATGGGTCAAAATTGACCAAAATTCAAATGCCCATTTCAACTCAAATCAACTCCAAATTCTTTGAAATCACTTTCAACAAGTTTCAAACATCAAACCCAACTTATTGAGCTCAAAACCAGACCTTGGATCAACCTGGTTGACCAAGTCAACAAAGTTTGACCCATTAACCCATACACCCCTTCTCTTTCAAATCTTTGAATCAAGACCACTCCAAGTCCTTTTGAATGTAAGGGATGACCCCTTGGGTTCCCAAGAGACCTCTCTTGGATGCCCAAGCCTTGGGCTCACTTGGGTTAGCCATTTAGCTTGACCTGAGTGACCAAAGAGTGGTCTCCTTTGAGCCATCTCTTAACCTTAATCAAATTGAATCCAAATCAAGGTGTCATTGGGTTCCCATTGACCCAATGCACCATCCTTGACCAGCCCAACCCTTGGGCTCACTTGGGTCAAGAGTTAGGCTAACCCAAAGTGCCCAAGATTACTTGGGATTGAGCTAATTCTTAACCTAATCCCAATTGGACTTGATCAACACCTCCCATAGGTGGCCCTAGGTCTAACACATCTCCTCCAGCCAGCCCATGCTCTGGGCTAACCTGGGTAAGGTTTTAGGCTAACCCAAAGTAGCCAAAAACACATGGACCTGAGCCATCTTCCAACTCAGATCAAATTGGACCTAATTACCACTTGCATTGGGTCCACTAGACCCAGACCCACTTCCCACCTCAAGTCCAAGGTTTGGCCTGACCTGGGTTGAGCCTAAATCGACCAGAACTGAGCAGATTTTGAT